TCAAATGAAGTAGCTTTAAACATATGAGTTCTTATCAGATAAAATAATCGAAACAGAGAAATAGGCAACTATATTACTTTGCAAAGAAATATTGCTCAACTTGTGGACCTATCCCCATATTTGGTGCTGGAACATCGGTGTGTATTCCAATAAGATAGTGTATCTTTTGTGTGAAAACTCTGGTGAGTTGCTCTAGTTTGGAAAGACTCAACTCCCCTGGATTACATCCTATACCCCCTTTGGCACCCCCATATGGGTTGTTGGCTACCACCGTCTTCTATGTCATCAGTTGTGCCAAAGCATTCACCTTATCTGGATCAACCTACATTTTCCATAAAATGATCCATAACAATTAAAGACAATTTCATGGCAGCGAGTCTTGATATATGACAACCATTCACATTTGTCGTAAAAGTGGAACTTAACAAAGTATGCATATACCTCTGGGTGATATTTGATTCCTCCCTTCATGGGGCCTCTAGCATTGTCATGTTGAGCCCTGAATCCAATAAATGAAGCCAAATTGCCATCGTCTTTTGGTATAGTACACTCAACCTGCACCAAAATATATAGTTCAAAAGCAACGAAAGGAGAAAACTCAATAACCACATTAGTTTTAGGGTCTGAAATCTACCTATAATTAAGAGTAAGGGATATACATAAGGGAGATTATATGCAAAATTACCCTCCACAAATCAGATACTAGAAATAAGATCCCTTAAAATAAGAAGAATTTTGGGATCGAAACACAACAATATCGAAGAAGAAAAAAACAATTCGAGAAAAACAGTGAGAATAAGGCACGAATCAGAGAAAGAAGTGGGATTTAATTACCTTTTGAAGGGATCGAAGGGATCACGAAGCAGAGATAGAAGAGATCAATGCGGACTGTAGGACGCATGATCGAAGTCGCCAACCCATTGCAGAGCAGCTGAGAATGTTTTAGGTTTCTAGCGTTTTCGGAAGACCCAAAGAATACACACACCTATGCTTTCCGCTTTGTATCTCTCTCACTATCCATCTCTCTCTAAAATGGGGGAAAATCCCATAGATCCTGTCAGAGCACCTACCTAAATATCTTTCTCACTCAGTCCAAACCCTTAGCTCCCATCTCTCTCCAATCTGTCAGGCCCTGTGTCTCCCTCATCTGTAGTAGCTCTGTCCCCCTCTCTCTGCTCGCCATAGGCACACTCAGCTGTCTCTGAGTAAAAAATGGGAGCGATCGCCTCTCTCCAATTTGTCAGCCGTGATGGTCCCCCTCTTCTCTCTTGCCAAGTCAAAAGCTGAAATGCAGCGAACGGCTGAAAATTGGTCCTTAAGCCTGAGTGGCAATTTTGTAAATTAAGAGAAAACTGGTTAAAGCATCTGAGTGGCAATCTTGTAAATAAACTGAAATGTCGTCCAAAACACTGTTCATTTCTATAGTGCAATTTCGCCTCCTTCTTTAGACTAAAGTAATTGAATTTATTTTTTCTTCTAAGAGTTAATGTTATGTATGGTCTCGCTCACTACAAGAAAAATGAGCTTTGGGTACAAAATAAAGGGCACAATTGAGAATTTTGTGTCAGTTTGACCACCAAAAAGCTTAAACAATTCCCATTCCATAGAGGGCACCATCTATTGTGCCCAATGTTAAAAAAAGCAGACACAAAACAGTAATGGGCACGGAAATCGTGTCGAGTGGGATCACATGACAACTTTTTTACTGAAAATGGGCACAAAAAATATTTTGTGTCTATAAAAATTATTTGTCAAAGGCATTATATGTTCTCTCTCGTTTGTCTTTACCTCCACTAGCACACCAATAATTAAAATTTATAAAATTGTGGTAAATAATGGTATGAAGCTGTTTATTACCGTGCAATATTTTAGCCTAAAAATAAGTTAGCAATAATGTTGTTCAAATTTGTTTTTCCCGAAAGCTGAACCTCAGATCTCTCACTTACAAGTAAAGAAGAATACCACTACACCATAGTACTAAGTGGCATGTTTTAGATTTACAAATGATCATTTCCAGGTGCAATGAATGTTTGTTAGATTTGTATCTTTTTGAATTGCTTTTTGGATTGTTATCTTCTTGCAGGTTTGTTTTTTATACTTGGTGATATGGTTTTTGGTTTTAAAGTCCTACCTGCAGTGACACATAACCAACAATTGTGCCCTTAGGGTTGGTCTCTGTGCAAAAGTTAGTTGGTCTTCAGATAGACAAATGAGTTAATAATTGTAGATTCCTTTTTATGACACTAATGATAGAAATTGTGTCCACTAAATATTAATAAATAATAAATCACTCTACTTCTCATTGGGTCTTCAAATAGAGAATATATTTTAATAATTATAAATTCCTCTTTTCTGACACAAATGTTAGAAATTGTGTCCAGTAAATATTAATAAATAATAAATACTCTATAGCAAAAGAATATGTTGGCACAATTATGGATTTGTGCCTTTATTCTACTATAAAACGTCCACACACTCCCTTACAAATTTGGTTTCGAAAGCTCTACCTAGGGTTGTTCCTGCAAGATGTCAACAGCGTTTTCCCTCTTCTCCACTATTTTCCTTCATTCCCTTTTCTCTGAACCAGAAAACTAGATTCCTCTTCCGGAGTCTCTCCCAGTGTGGAACCCCCACCACCACCAGGCGCCACAGCTGCGTTAAAGGTTTGCGTGTTGAATTTCACATCAACGGCATCTCCCTATAACCTAGGAGCTTGGTTCGGATCGGGCGATTCCGGAGGCCCTGCCATCGAGGTTAGTCTGAAGCGATTCCTATCTTGTTCACTTATTGCATGTCAAAATCTGCTTCAAATTTGTGATTTAATATAATTGGGCTTTAGAAAAAAAAAATTCTTGATTTTGTCTAATCCAATTGAATGATTAGAAAAATTTTCATTAAATTTCTGGGTTCCCGAGGGGTTCTGAATCGTGATGTTGAGAGAGCTTGGTTGCTTAATTGCTATGAAATTAGCATCTAAACGTTCATAATTTGCCTTTTTTATGTTCATTCTATATTTTCTGTGAGTTCAAATATATTTGTTTGTTTGTTTGGTTTTTTTGTGATATATTGCCGATGCCAAAATATCATATTTACAAGGACAAAGATAGAAAGGTTCTAAATCAATTTTTTATCCTGGTTTTGCTGCTGGGTTCACTATCAGTAAAAGGCACATGAAATATGGTATTGATTTCAGAGGCTTTGATTTCTCAGAATGTCTTCATATATCGAATGTCATCTGAATTTAGTTGTAGTTGATTTGTCAAAGTTTGTTGTTGTTTAGCTTTTTCAAATGGCAGTCTTAGTATTTGCCCAGTATTTTTTGTGAATTCCAAATTTTGCTTATAATTGTAGGTATGTAAAAGCTGCCAATTGGATTTGTTCCCCAGATGATAATGGCATACTAATATAATGGTTGTTCTTTTGCTTTGATGTACGAGTAAGAAGATTGTTTTGCCCCTTATGTATCCTGCTTCTTTCTGTTCCACGAAGTTGCTAGGAAAAAAAAAAGTACTTTGTGATCGTTTTCTTTCTTATGGTGATGTGTAGATGAAATCTGTCTTTTTTTCTTTGTATCAGCAACCTATTACCCCTTCATGAACATGTTCAGTTAAGAAACTTTTGATTTTTCTTCTGTTTAATTTCTCATCTGATAGGTTCAATATTAATAGAGTCCAATTAACATCCATATTGGAATGACAATCGAGAAATGCAATGACATACTTCTAATTCCATCCTCATTAAGTGTCTTAGTAACAATCAAGAATTGAATGACATACTTCTAATTCCATCCTCATTAATCAAGAATCGGATGGTGTAAGGTTATGCACTTGCTTTGGATATGACTGCCAGAGAAATTCAAGCTTCTGCTAAGGTAATTATCGATAATCAGATTGTTTTGATGCGATTAAACACGGTAGTGAAATGTTCAATTTTATGGCTACAAGTGTCTAATTAGAATGCTAATGATGCAGTTCATGATAATGATATGTTCTGATTTAAACAGTTACTGCAAATGTATTGTTGCTATGTGATGAATGAGTTATCTTTTGCATATAAGACTTTTCGTTTCTCGATACTAAGTCTAAAATAGAGATTTCAGAGCAAAACATTGATCCAGTATAAGCGAGTTGTGATTTTGTAGTTTATTTATGTTTCCAGATAAAATCTACATAGATTAGAAAGAGAAAAAGGGCAAAGGAAAGCTATGGTGACTCTTGAAAGATGGTTCAAGTCTCTGTTGGAGGTACATTGGATTTATGTTTATTATGTGTTTAGTTCATTGTTTGGACTATAGATTTGGTTTGAACTCAATGTTGTCCGTGTATATAAATATATCTGTGTAAATATATTTTTGTGTGAATATATGTGTGCATATAGATTTATACATTGTTGGGACTAATAATGTTTGTGCTGTTGGTATTTTCGATTGGGATTGGGGGCTAATAAGGACTAGGGATGTTGGATAGTATCTTAATTTATATGGGAGTTGATTTTTTCTTCTCTGTGAATCAGGATTGACAATTTCATTTTGCATAGGCCATACCGATTAAAGATGCTATGGTGTTGTCAAAAGATAAACCTGACATATAAAGTTGGATATTTCAAAGTTGCCTGTTTTCTGTTTAACCATTTTGTTTTTCCTACTTCTTCAGTTTCAATTCTTACTTTTGACTACTACTTTTAAGATGTTGTTTTGGCTAGACTTTTGGATGAGGCCACGGTCCTGCAAAGATATAATTTTCTCTTCTTTTACATAAGATATTGATTTTTTTTGTCATTCATCGCTTTGAAGATTGCATTTGATCTGCTTGAGCATAATATTCTGATCTCAAACCACTTTCACAAAGCTGATTTATTATCTACACGTGTGCTATTTTCATTTCAAATTGTGACTGCTATTTTGCTTTTCCCATTCTCATATTCCTAACAAGTGACCTATGAAATTTATTGCCTATATCTTTTCAAAGCACTTCAGGTATAAATTCACCTCACACTTCCTTGACGGGAGAATCAGACCATTGAGTGGGCTATACGACTAACAGTTGCTCTGAACATTGCCAAAGCATTAGATCACTGCAGCAGCAAATGCCGCCCATTGTACCATGACTTAAATGCATATATGTTTCTCTTTGATAAGGTGTTGTCTCAAATTTCCTTTCCCAAACGATAATTAATAAAATAGAGGACCAATTAAGTCTTTGAAAAACAAAATTCTTTGTCTACGTTGCTGAGTATTTGGAGCTTGCAGCTCTCATTGGTTATTATATTGGATTGAGTTAAACTTGGATTTCTGGATTTTGACTTTTCCATTTGTTTCTCTGTTGCAGAGTTGGCTTCATTTCAGTCCAGTAACTCTCTAAATAGGTCCAATAACTCACTAAATAGGTAAATCGAGAAGAATTCAGCGTTGCACGCCTTTTTTGGTATGCTGTTTAAATCTGTCTGTCATTTTGTTCATTCTTCATGTTTAACTTTGTTCTGCAGGCTTCATATGGCTAACTTAAGCATTTAAGTTATTCATTTGTTAAAGATGTTTGCTATTTTGGAACAGTTTGAAAGTTAATGCATGACTCGAGGATGACTTTTAGCTTATCCCACTTATCTTTCACGCTCTCACTTCATTCATGTGCTGAGTCATGGTTTAACTGTCTAAATTCAAGAACTAAAAATGGCCAGCAGGCTAAAAAGTGATTAGATTTTGAGATGCATATTTTGGTTTCTCATTATTTCTTTGTTTTCAATTTGTTCCTTTTATTCTGTCTGCAATTTTTAATCTGTGGTTATGCATCAATTTCTCTGCTTCTTCTTTATAAATCTTGCAGGTCAGGACAACACACTTATCGGGGCAATGTTGGGATGTTTAGGCTTGGGTGGAGACATGGACTTTTGGAAGAGGTGAATTAGCTTAGCTCTCTGTCATTAGCTTTATCTGTTCTATGCATCTCTACAATCTTACAATGCTCCTTTATTAAATTGCAAGATGTTGGGACCCGTTACTGGAATACAAGATTTGGAACAAAAGTGGTTGACAATGCTAGAGTCGAAAGCAAGTGTGAAATTCACATTGAAAATGACAGGTGAGAATGCTAATCATATTCCAAAAAAATGTTGGGCTTCCTGATGAGATCTCTAGCCGAATTCAAGAGGCTAATTTAGTGATTTGGAGTTAATTTTGTGAATTTATTGAATGAAGTTATTTATTTTTAGCTTATCTTGCGTTTGCTTTGGTTTTAGGAGAGGGTTGCGCATGATCTGTAGGTTCAATCAACCTCGCTGTTTTCGTTAGAATCACAATTAAAGGTCAGTTTTTCCGACATTTTTTTTTCTTTTTGCTGCATGTTTATGTATGGTTGGCCTATGAGAATACTGGTTAGTTGTCATCAAGCAGCCCTTGTAGATGTGTATTTTGTTTATATATTGCTAGTTTAACCATTAGTACGTTTGACTTGGGGATACAAGCTTGGATATGTTATATTTTGTTGTATATAGAGAATCCCGGGTATGTCCAGCATAGGATAACATGTATTTTTTGGTTTAACATTTGGATGGGTTGTATTGTTAGGTTGCATGAATCGGTCTTAGCCGAGAACATGGGTTATGTAATATATTAACTTCACTATTTTAGTGCTAATGTTGATTTATGTTTAGTTTGTAATGGATGATTTGTAAGTTTCTAAATTTAGGTGGAAATTAGGTTCTATGAGCAACCTGATGATTTCCATGTTTAAATAAAAATATCCAATTATGCCACAAATTTTTAATTGTGCTGGAGTTTTATTGTATTTATTAAAATATAATAGTGGCACAATTTTAAAGTTGTGCCCTTGCTTTAACATTTATACAGCAATCTAAGCCTTTAAAATAGCAATTGTGCCCATCTTACACCATACATTCAGTAGCCTTTATTAGAGGTAAGACACAATAAGGGTTGTATTTGTGCTTAGCTTTGGGCACAAAACATCATATTGTGTGCTATAAGTAATGGTGACGCCCATAGAGGGCACAGATACAAACTTAGTTGCTGCACTGTTGCTATTGGTCTATGAGCACAAATGTTGGTGCTTTTTGGCCTCAAAAGGCACATATAATTTTTTGTGTGCAGTGCTCTTTTTTTTTGTAGTGGCTCTTGGTTATTTTGTTTTTTTTTTATTTGGCTTTTTGGTGTTATACCGTCTGCTTCGTTAGTTGGAAGGTGTGTGAAAAGGGCGTGTATATTTCGCCTGTGGATTTGGTCTTTTTCTTGTTGGATTTTGTTGTTTTCAGATTTTATTTATTTATTTAAATTTTTTTTTTTTAGATTTTGTTGTAACATGCTGTGTAGAGAGATGAATTTAATCACCGTACGTTGATATACAATTTATAGGAATGAATGTTCCATTTCTATGCATTTGTTTAATACTGTTAAGTGTAAAGTGGCACAAAATTTGGCTATAATTATAGGGTGCATGTGTTATAATTGGATTTTGGTCATTTGTCTATTTAGTAATTGTTGTGATTCTAGCTATACCCCCACATTAAGCCAATTGGAAAAACAATGGATAAATTTCTTACATGATGTTATGTTTACAGTAACTATGTTCATTAGGAACAAGAATTTCATCTTTTGTATTACAAATTGAACCTCTGTTGGATAGGTGAGGTGTAGGAGTTTAATTTGTGTTTTTTATTTAGTGTATCTTATTCCAATATTTCTTGAGCTTTTTTTTTAATTGCTCATAAAAAATTGCATCCATTTTGAATAGTTGAAATGGAAGCTGTGAGGCCAACTCCTCTGGATCAGTTGCGACCGTTTGAAAAAGCGGAAAAAAAAAAAAAAAATTAAAATCTGCATATATGTCTGTTGACCAAATTACAAGATAATTTATAATATCTTCGATTTCAATTCATCTACTATAATTTATACATTTTTGTGATTTCGGATTTGTACATGAATTGAAATTTAATTTTTCTGATTTCAACTCTCATTGGGATCCTTACTCTCCATCATTAAAATCCTTTTTGTGTGATATTCTCCTCCAGGCACGGTTGCAAATACACAAGCCGTCAAGGTATTTCATTCAATTATATATATTGTACATGTGTGTATTGCGTTATACATGTGTGAGTATAAATTTGTTTTTAGTAGGTTGATTTAATTAATGAGGTTTATTTTAATTTCAGGTTAATTTGGTTTTGTTAAACTAAAGACATTAGAAGAGTGGAACCGGCTGTGTTTTAAAGAGGTTGGTTTCTCAATATTTTCATTTATGTTCTTTTAGTTGTTTGAATTGACTTTGTATAATGTAAATCAAGCTTAATTTAATGGCTGTGTTTCTATATTGTATTTGGTTTGTCCCTTTTATTTTTTTTTTTGGCTGAAAAATGTAATTTGATTTTGTAGATCAATGTTTTCCGGTAGGAAAATTACCTTGGAAATAAAATTTAAATACGAACAGCGAATTTAGGATTTTGAGTTCATCTTTTGTTTTAGTACATTTTGGTTCTGAGTGTGATATAGTGTGTTGTAATCTTTATTTAATTGTGATTTTGTATATTTTAAGTGGTGGTTTGGATTTTGAAGAGTGAGAAAACGGTTTGATGGGTTTTAGAGGAAACGCGGATAATTTAACAGGAGTTTGGAAGTGGAAGAATGAATATGGAGGGTGTGGACTAAGGGGATAGCAGGAAGCAAAGTGGAAGGGATTGTAAATAGAGATTTCTGTGTGTTGAGTATGTTTTTGTTTTGGATTGAAAACTCGCCAAGTGATTTAATTCGTTTGTTAAAATTTTTTCTTTTGGCACAACATAATACAGCTGCCCATATGTAGATATTAGGAACTGCTTTTTTCTTGGTTATCGAATAAATTGTCTCTTATATGGCTACCTAATGTTTTCGTTTTCTTAATTGATGAAGGGGAGGTAGAAAATAGAAGTTTTTATTTATTTGTTAAGAAAATATAAGCGAAGCAATGTCAAGAACTTATTGTACATATTATTAAACTTAACAGAGTAATGTGTTTATTTCATTGTATAGATCTTATTTAGTGTAATATTCTTTTTATATATTGTTTTTAACATTTGCTTTCGTCTATACATTTGATTCGAGTGTTATTTTGTGTTTTTAACAATTTTAGCTAATTCATGTTTCTATTTGAATCAGGACAATTTAATTGAAACAACTGTTGCTGGCAACGTATGTGTATCGCCACAGTGCAGTGTTGGTTAGACATCTGTTCATTTCATTAAATTCGAGTTTACAGTTTTTTAAAACATTTATCTATACAATTTTTAATCCTGCAACAACGTGCGGGTCGAATTTCTAGTTATTAGCCTAAATAACAATCAAAGTCTATAGCTGCCAACACTGACCAAGTGATTTTTCGTTGCAGACAAGGCCAAGATAAGATATATTATTGGCACTCCCTCCTACCTCATTGGTTCACAGACTTAGGTCTGTTTGCAACAGAGAAGTCAATTTTTTCTTTATAGTGATTTCCGCTTGATTTTTCTTTAATTTGTTCAATCTAATGACGAAAAAAAAAAATACATACAGTAGGTGAAAAAGGTGTGTATAAATCGTTTTTATTTCCTTTATGCATACGGAAATAAATCGGATGTATCAAATTAATTATTGGCTCGACAATAATAAATTACACTGAATGATGTCCTTAATTGCAAAAGGACACGTTGGCAATTATAAATTTATAATCAGTAAGATATGACAAACGACTCGCGGGGCAGGGGGGGAGGGGGGTCGAAATAAAATTATTGCAAAATACGTAATGTCTTTTCTACCTGACTTCAAGATGTAAAAAAGCAGATGGCATTTTTGACCATCCAAACTTAGTTACGACCATGTTGAAGCATAAAAGATTACAAAAGCTTGAGGAAAAGGCACCGTGTTTCTTTTTTTTCAATCCTAGCACGTGAACAATATAAATAGAATAATTTAAAGTATTTGTAGTCTTCGGCTTCATACGAGGAATAACTTGTTTTGATACTATGAAGAAAGTTGAGGTTCAGCTATGTTGATGCACAAAATCGGCGAGGACTTTGGTACAACAGAAAGTGTCAAGTTTATGACTTTCGCTAGATTGCTCTAGTCATTAGTGTGGATAAGTATGTAAATGGATAGAGACAGGGAAGCAAACAACACAAGATGTATCGTGGTTCACCCAAGTTGGGCTACGTCCACATTAGTGTCGATTCCGTTTCACTATGTAAATGTGTGGATTACAATGGACAAGCAAGGGAGCTCTCTGTGTGAATTAAAATGGACAAGCAAGGGAGCTCTCTGTGTGCTGCCCTTTGTGCTTCCCTTTGCTATCTCTCCCCCCCTCTAGTGAGTGCGAGGGAGCCCTTTTATAGAATAAGGGCTTCCTCCCCTTTTACATGAATCATGGGTTAAGTAATGAAGCCCAAATACTGAGGCCCAATATATGGTACAACAGGAGTCCCCCAAGTCTTCAGTCAAGAGATACTTTGGGCTAGAGACTTCAAATTCAATCCATGTGCGGGCCGAAGTGACTAGATGTCGTCCAGAACTAGTACTCGACCTGAGACGGTGCTTAACGTGAAGCAATACTCAGCTAGAGGTAGCACACATTGCAAGGCTGCTCGTCTAGAAGCAATGCTCGCGGCGACACGGTTGCTCGGCTGGAGGCAGTGCTCGTTGCGAAGCGACTTAGCTTGTGGCGTTCTTCATTGTGAGTATGCACTCGACGTCAGCGTGAGCTCATTATGAGTTAACTCCTGACATAACTCGAGTCTGCTTGTCGGGTTCGCATATTGGGTCTATGTGTCGGATCCACGGATCGGGTCCACAAGTCAGGTCTTTGAGTCAAGGCCATACATAGGGTCTGTGAGTCGGGGTTCGAGCTCAAGGGTGTCCAAGTTTGACGGTGTCTAATCTCATAAGTGCCCGAACGAATGGGTGTCCAAGCTCGCGGGTGTCCAAATAAGCGAGTGTCCGAGGAAGTGGGTGTCCAGCTAGACAAAAGATTACCGTTCAGACTAAATCTTTGTCACCATAAGAATGTGGCTCATCAATCTATAAGTTGGTAGGCTTCTTTATCAGTGACAATGTTGATCAATAGAGTCTAGTTGCTCAATAATTCCTGACAATAAATGATAATATAAATATGACCGTATAATGAATAAATCAAATTGACAAAGTTTGCCAAGGAAAAATATTGTACTATGTGCCTTCTATAAATAAATAATTTATTCAGTCGGTAAAGGTGTATAAGTGACACAGTTTAATGGCAGTCACAATTCATGCACATATCAGTTTGTACTTGTCACTTGTATCAGTAGCTGCATGACTCTATTTGTCATGTTGCACATACCATGTCATGAACTATTAATCAAATGCAAATAGTACTATCTAAATATCATGCTGACTGTCACTGCGACAAAGATTGAAAAAAGTGCATAAAGCAATTACTTATATATATATATATATATATATATATATATAGTGGCACTTAATGTATAGTGAACAAAATAGGCAGTATGGCGTGTATGAAGCATATACAGTAATTACGTATGAAAATAATATTTAAATAATAAATATAGTGTTCATAATGATTAAAGTTGTGTTATTTTAAAAGGGAAGTGGCCGACATATTAATAAAAGAATAAAGAATTCTTATCTTCATCGTAGTTGTCTCGTGGGTTTTTTCTGAAAGTGGGCATGGTGGGAACATGCACTCCCCTTCATGATGAAAGTCTTATCTTTTTCAAAAGTTGGTGGGCATCTTCTAGTACAACAGAAAGTGGAGACGGGGAACCTTGGTGCAGTGTAGTGGGAACCTTGCACTAGTTCTTATCTTATTCATGAGTGCTTCTCGTGGGTGTTTTTTCAGGCCACTGGTTCATTGATCTGCTCGTTAGTGGCGGTCTCAATTTCGTCAGTGTATTTCTGATAGCAAGCGACGGTTTGGAAGCATGTCAGCTCTTGGCTAAAATCCGGCAATAGTGTGGTGAAGAATCCTGTGCGTCCCGTAATCGTTCAAGTTGGGTCCTCCAACTATACAAATCAATGGCAGACTCTCACTGTAAGCTCCCGCGATAGCATTGAGAACACTGAGCCCACCCACAGTGAAAGTAACAACACACGCCCCGACTCCCCGAGACCGGGCGTAGCCGTCAGCAGCGTACCCGACGTTGAGTTTGTTGCAGCAGCCGATGTTGGTGAGCCCGGGCTCGGCGATGAGGTGGGCAATGAGGGTTAAGTTCAAGTCACCGGGGACAGTGAACACGTCGGTGACACCGATTTGGACGAGTCGGTGGGCGATGTGGCCACCCAGAGTGGCGTCAGAGGAGTTGACGGTGGAGGGGGCAAAGCTTTGGATTGCTAAAGCGGCGCTGTTCGGTAGGCTGTCGACGTCAGTGCACGCAGGCTTGCAGACGTCGAGGGAACCGATTTTGGTGTCTATAGGTTTTTGAACTGGGTTTTGATCGTACTCAAAAACCGTTCTTGAAAACTATTCGGAAAACAGAAAATATGGGAACTTTGCAATGGGATTTGAAGACTGCGATTTGGGTTTTTCTGGGATTTATGGAATTTGGTTTTTTGCATATCCACAGTGGAGACAGGTGGTTTGATGAAAAAATGAAAGGGAACCGACATAGCTTTTCGTGTTGATTTCCACAGACGGCGCCAAATCTTGATGCACAAAAATCGGCGAGGATTTTGGTACAACAGAAAATATCAAGTTTATGACTTTCGCTAGATTGTTCTGGTCAGTGGATAAGTATGCAAATGGATAGAGACAGGGAAGCAAACAACACAAGATGTATCGTGGTTCACCCAAGTTGGGCTACATCCACATTAGTGTCGATTCCGTTTCACTATTTAAATGTGTGGATTGCAATGGACAAGCAAGGGAGCTCTCTGTGTGAATTACAATGGACAAGCAAGGGAGCTCTCTGTGTGCTGCCCTTTGTGCTTCCCTTTGCTATCTTTCCCCCCTAGTGAGTGCGAGGGAGCCCTTTTATAGAATAAGGGTTTCCTTCCCTTTTACATGAATCATGGGCTAAGTAATGAAGCCCAAATACTGAGGCCCAATATATGGTACAACAAGCTATAAAATTAATTAGCAATATAGGAAGTAGCCTAATTATTTACAAGCACATGCAATGTACCGCTTTTTTTTATGTGAGATTGATACTCTCAACAAATTAAATGTTTTGGGGTAATTTTACACACAATCTTTGGGTGTTTTTTTTTTTTTTTTCCACTTTGGATTATGGATTAAACTCGACAATTGTGATTGTATTTGTAAATTTATGGCATGTCATTACACGGACGTTTTCAATTTCAAGCCTCCAAGTAGAGTTCCGAGGCCATGGATAGAGCTTTAACATGGAGATGAAGTCTCTAAGTTAGGGCTCGTTTGAAAGTATTTTTACATGATTGAAAACATTTTTAGAGAAAAAACTGTTATCTGCTTCTTGTAGGAATTACTTCAAATGCTTTTCTACGATTCACTTGCATTTTTATTAAAAATTAGTTACAAAATTATTTTCACCAAAAATGTTTTCGACCATGTTAAAAACACTTTTAAACGAGCTCAGCTCTTATTATATCAATAATAAAAAAGCTAGGCATGTCAACAGAAATGAGCAGTATTGGCCAAATAGTACTACATGCACTTTAGGTACAAGTTGGTATGTTGCTATGCTTTTGCTGGTGTATTTGCAAACTTCCATGACCAGCTAATGAAACTGTCACTATATCTTTCCCCTGCCGCACCGTTGATGGGTATCGCATCAGAAACCTCCTTCACATCTCCTTCAGTGAGTTTCACTCTCAACGATCCGATATTATCATCGAGATTTTTTATCTTTGTCGTCCCTAAAAGAACACAATGAGATGTAAGTATGCTTCGTTTTCAAGTTTATTAAAAATGGTTCGTCCAGTTAGTAAGTTAATACGAACATACCAGGGATTGGTACCACGCCATCACCTTGGCTAAGAATCCAAGCTAGGGCAACTTGTGCAGGGGTGCATCCGTGCTTCTCGGACAACTTTCGTACGTTGCCAAAGATGACCTTGTTGTTCTCCAAGTTGTCTCCTGTGAATCGAGGACAGAAACCTGATACCTGATAACAAAATCAATAGCCATCAAATAACCGTTCTTGTTCACATAATTAAGCATATCGCTACCCCGGAACTCCCTTACCAGAAAATTATTTGTAGGTAGACTTTCGACAACTCCTTTGCCACCAAAAAATCCGCGACCAAGTGGGCTGTATGGCACTATTCCGATTCCAAGCTCCCTGTGGTTCCAACAAAAGCGACAATATTTTCTCACATTGATCAATTGACTAAGATGCGGGAACAATCAACCAGCCACAAAGTAGTTACCTGCAAAGCGGGACAATTTCTTCCTCGATATCTCGAGTCCAAAGGGACCACTCCATTTGTATAGCAGTTAAGGGATGAACTGCATGAGCTCTTCTTATTGTGTCCGGGCTAGCTTCCGATAATCCGATGTACTTAATTTTTCCCTCATTCACCAGCTTCTTTAGCTCCTCCATCTGTCCTTACAAAAATTGTAACTGAGTAACAAAAAAAATGGAAAAAGGCTTCACACTGCACTTCAAAAGTGGGGGAAAATATCTCACTTACAGTGTCCTCTATGGGGACTGTTTTATCGATCCGGTGCGGATAGTAAAGATCAATGTAGTCCACGCCAAGGCGCTTCAGGCTAGCCTCGCAGCAGGAACGGACATATTCAGGACTGCCATTTACTAGTATATGGTGAGGTTCAAATTTTACGATACCAAACTTTGTAGCCAACTGAACTTTGTCTCGTGGCAATTGCTTCAATGCCTGAAGTTAAACCGATCGAAGACAGCGTAAATGACTAACATTAAATGCATACCAACAACCCTAGACACTCTTAGACTCTTTTCAGAACCTGCTCCAATTTCGAGTCAAGAGATACTAAACCCTTGCTTGCTGCACAAGGCAGATTAAAACTTTGAATTATGGAAAGACTAATTTCAGAGCACATTACCTTTCCAACCAAAACTTCATTAGTATGAGGTCCATAAACATCTGATGTATCAAAGAATGTAATTCCCTTATCGAATGCGTGCTTGATGATCGATATGCCAAGCTCTTCGGGGAGTGGATCGTTGTAGATTCCAGTGAGCCCCATACACCCAAATCCCAACTTGGAAACCTGCACAACAAATGAATTCACAATTTGCAAAAAATCAATGTGAAATAATGCTAATTTTTATTTGGAGGGAAGCAAAAAACATAACCGAGTTGCAGAAATGATAAGCTGGAAGTAAAGAATCTGAAATGGTTTCACCTCAAATCCCTGAGTTCCGAGTTGCACTCTTGGAATTTGAACTTTCTGCTCCTCCGCCATTCTTCTTCTTCGATCTTCTTTGATCTTGGTGCACTCTTGGAACTCTTTTTGTCCCCTTTTTGGTGAAGTGAGAGCGAATTTATGGGCGTTTTACGCACTAAACTTCATGTCGTCATTGATTACATCAGCTTATCTTTTAGATCACTGCGTGTGTCATTAGCCATTAAGGAACTAAATCCAAAGCTAAACTCGTGAGTGCTATATCAAATATTATTTGGAAGTTTGTTAGTGTCCAAAAGCCTACTTCCAACAACACTTGTTAATTACCACTTGCATTACCTGCATGGCTGCACCATCTGTCAGATATTGGGCTTTATGATAAAAAAAACCTCGATATTAGTTTAAGAGGGGTAGCATATTTAAACTATTTTTTTCTCATAGATACGATCGATGTGAGATATTTCAACAAAAACCATACTCTAATTGCGTGAAACGTTAAAATAATCTCTCTTATTACATATAATTTCCCATTAATGTGCCTGCCATGTATGAGTCCAGTATAATTTTATAAGAAACGGAAATTTTCAGGGATAAGTAGTCCCCGGATCATTGTGTCTGTCCATGAGTGTTACAATTTCGAAATGGAAATTACGCTTAGGAATATGATCTTATTATGATGTTGAAATATCCGTAACTGCTTCAAAGACTTCGATTGGATTGCAATTTTCTCGCAGAAACTCTGCAGATTCGATTGTGTATACAAACATTTAAGATGGTCTGTTGCATTCTTTTGCTGGTGTGTTTGCAAACATTTTCAGCTCCGCCCAAATATTAATAAAACGTAAGAGGGACTAAAAATGATAATAAACTGAATGTTGTCCTCAATTGCAAAATGACCCGTTGGTAATTATTATTATTATTTTTGTCCAACATTGGCCATAACAATCAAATGATCAAATATGAGACAATCACATGCAAATTGAAGAAAATGGTAAATTGTACAATGTCTTTTTTACTCTGTTACACGAGAAAAATTCAAAGACATTTTTTTCTATCCAAACTCCTTTTATGTTTTAAATCATTCAATTTTCACAACTTGTATTTGCAAGGCACACTTACCAATATGAGGTGACCGACCTTGAGGGTCTGACTCCTCTCAAAACCGGTCTTATTCCCACATATTGAATTCGGGACAATACAATGCTTCAATGCTTAATTTGCTAAACTCAAGCCCACAAAGCATGAATTACAACTACTATAGAAAATCTTTCCAAAGTCTAAAGGAAATTGAAAGAAGAGACATTAAGAAATGGGAACACATAAAGTATAGAACACGAGTTTCAACTTTCATTTGTTATTAACACTGTAAAAACTTCATCTTGAACTCCTCTCCTCCATTTTTTTTTTCACACAAAAGAGGAGTGCACGATGACTTTCTAGGTGTGTAAATAGCAGCTTCCGTTCACAAAATACTATATCGCTCAATTCCGACAGTCAGATGGAAACGTTTCCATGTCCTAAAGCTCAGATCTTGGAGTCTTTCGGAGGAGTGTTGGCGAGCTTCCATTGCAGCCCCATCAGGAGGTCATGATCTCTATCACCAGCTACTTGGTCGATCGGTACAGCATCAAAAATTTCGTTCAGGTCCTCTTCCTTCAGGCTCACCTTCAAGGAGTCAATGTTTGAATCCAGGTTCTAAATCTTTGTTGTCCCTGCAGTCGAAATTCAAAAACAAATAAACAATGTGTCGATGACGAGTTCTAAATCACAATGTCATAGACTCGGAGCTCAAGTAAGATGAACCGAAAGCAGCTTTTCTATTCTATCTAAGATAACCATTATAAGAACAAGCACGAGTTCATTGGCACGGAAACAACGAGCTGCAGATGCAACGTAGCAGGTTTCGCATCAAATGAACTTGATGAGAACAAAAATTTAATGAGGACTCACCCGGGATAGGTACGACATCATTTCCTTGGTGGAGAACCCATGCTAGTGCTAGTTGAGCAGGAGAGCATTCGTGCTTTTTACCGAGGATTTCTATTCGGTTGTACATGTTCTTGTTCTTGTCTAAGTTCTCTCCTATGAACCGGGGATGTGAGGCCTTACAAAACGAAGAAAAACAACATGATTAGAATCAAACCCTACGCTGTCATTTTTCGTTATTCTACAGAACCAACATTTACTTTTACAAAGGAATGAGGAGAAGAACTTACCACATAACTATTTGCAGAAACACCTTCAACAACTGCTTTGCCACCGAAAAAACCACGACCAAGTGGACTATATGGAACTATTCCGATGCCAAGCTCCCTATACACGATAGCATTGAACAAAATGATTCACAAAAACTGCGATGAACTATACATACAAGGCCATCTTCAAAAGCATTCCCTTTTTTACTTAAACAGAAACGGAATGATGGAAACAATTCATGGTACCAGTTTTGCATAACTCAGAGTCTCAGATTGGATTTTGAACATACCTGCAAAGTGGAACAATGTCTTCCTCAATATCACGAGTCCAGAGGGACCACTCGATTTGTATAGCCGTGATCGGATAAACTGCGTGTGCCCTCCTTATTGTGTCCGGGCTGGCCTCAGATAACCCGATATACTTTACTTTTCCTTCTTCCACAAGTTTCTTCAGCTCACCCACCTAAACTCCACGAAAAACAAAGGTATCTAATCAGTTTATACACAAGTTTGGTGCTTTAGTTGATTGAGGAGGAGAATGACGTACAGTTTCCTCTATAGGCACTGAAGCATCCACCCGGTGGTAGTAATACAGATCAATGTAGTCCACATCAAGACGTTTCAAGCTCCCCTCGCAGGATGAGCGGACATACTCGGGAGTTCCCTTCGCTGAAACAGCAGGAGGATCCACCTGTCCAACAATTCCAAACTTTGTAGCCACTTGAACTTTCTCCCTTGGCAACTGCTTCAAGGCCTAAATTACGCAACGTTGCAGTTAGAATCACCGAACATAACAACCGCGAAAGGTAACGGTATCTGCATTTTTCTGCTCCGTCATACAAAACACATATAAAAACATGGAGACATATACATTCAGTAGTGCAAACACATACCTTCCCAAGAAGAACTTCGTTCGTATGAGGTCCGTACACATCAGCTGTGTCAAAGAAAGTGATTCCTTTGTTGAAGGCATGTTTTATGATTGCGATACCATCCTCATCGGCAACAGGAGAGTTATAAATCCCACTCAGGCCCATGCATCCAAACCCCAATTTTGAAACCTGATTAACAAAGAAAATAAAAATTTTGCAACAAATCAGGAAAAAAATGGTAGAAATATATTAAAAAAAAAAATTGAGCTACTTCCAACCACAGAAGGTGAATCAACCTCTGCAACAAAGGTTAACCTCAAAACTCAAAGGCCTCGTTTGATAGAGATGATTGGCTTGGGTACGACGATTATTCATGAAAAAAAAAAGTTGTCCCTTTTAATTCTACCATTTTGTAGGGACTAGGAGGGATATATTTTCTTCGTGATTAACCTTCAACATGGACAAAATCTTCTCATCTATTTCTTTCCTTAAAAGCCTTAAATGTAACGAATAGTCCTATTAAAATTAGTCCTCCCTATCAACCAAGGCCTAATGAAAATGGAGCCTAGAAAGCATTGAAAGAGGCAAAACTCTTAAGTCTCATTTAGAGTCAAGGATTGGATCAGATTGGATAACTTAGTAGATTTAACAGATGTTGATAGAAAATAAATGTCAAATTCCAAATTTGGTCTCAACCGAAGATAAGAGATTGGTCACGAGGGAAACTTTTCCCTTCCAATAGGATTTGGAGGTGACTAATCCATCTTGCATTCTTCATTCAACATACATTGAATCTAACGACTCTAATCCAATCCAATCATTGACACCAAAACAAGCCCTTACATCTCTTTCTTTTACCAAAAAATGGAGATTAGCAAACTTTAGGCAAATTTGATGAGTTATATACTACACAACCAACCATTTATTCACTTTCAAAACTTAATCTGAGAAACAAAAGACATAAATTAAAACACTTTCAGAATCTAAAAATGGATTGATTAATTAATTCATACCTCAAATCCACAGTTTCCAAGTTGCACTCTTGGAATCTGTATTCCCATCTCCTCAGCCATACTGTTCCCCACCCTCTCTGAACTTCTTTTTCAAAACATTAAAAAAAAAAGCCAAATGAGAGAATATATTTATATGATTTGAAATCACAAACTGCTGACCATTATTAGCCTAAATAACAATCAAAGTCTATAGTTGCCAACACTGACCAAGTGATTTTTCGTTGCAGACAAGGCCAGGATAAGATATATTATTGGCACTCCCTCCCACCTCATTGGATCACAGACTTTGGTCTGTTTGCAGCAAAGAAGTCAATTTTTTCTTCTTAAAGTGATTTCCGTACGTCGTGTTTTACCTTCCGCACAATCTTCTTAAATTTAGCAATTGATTTTCTTTAATTTGTTTAATCTAATGACGGAAAAAAATACATAGAGTAAGTGAAAACGGTGTGCATAAATCGTTTTTATTTCCTTTATGCATACGGGAATAAATCTGATTTTTTTTTTTTTCAACACATACAATAAAGAAAAAGATGGATTGAAAATTTGGGTGTCCAAAGACATAATGTGAGATATTACTTTTTACCTCTCAAGTCCTTGGCTACCCAAATTGACTTTAGAAACTTTGGACCTTTCTCTCGCTCTCTAAAACAAACATAAAAAAATGAGAAAAAGAAAAAAAAAGGAAATGCACCAGCCAGGAATCGAACGCGGGTCTGTACCGTGGCAGAGTACTCCTCTACCACTAGACCGCTGGTGCGAACATGTCGATTTCAGCTCCTACCTTATTATTGCCTCGACAGAAAGTGGAGTGAAAGCGGCCGGAAAAGAAATTACACCGAATGATGTCCTTAATTGCAAAAGGACACATTGGCAATTATAAATTTATAATCAGTAATACGACAAACGACGCTGGGGGGGTCGAAATAAAAATATTGCAAAATCCATAATGTCTTTTCTACCAGACTCCAAGATGTAAAAGTGAATGCTGCTTGGCTGCCGAAGTTTCAGTAGGAGCTCCTGCTTACACTTAATTTCGGGTGGACACGTGTCCACCTGGGATTGGGTGTAAGCAGGAGTTCCTGCTGAACCATTCAGCAGCCAAGTATTTCTTGTAAAAGTAAAAGCATATGGCATTTTTGACCATCCAGACTTAGTTACGACCATGTTGAAGCATAAAATATTACAAAATCTTGAGGAAGTGGCACCGTGTTTCTTTTTTTAAGCCTAGCACGTGAACAAGATAAATTGAGTAACTTAGAATACGTGTAGTCTTTGACTTCACACAAATGATAACTTGCTTTAATACCGTTAAGAAAGTCAAGGTTTAGTCATAAAATTATTTAGCAATATAGAAAGTAACTCAATTATTCAGAAGCACATGCAATGTACCTCTTTTTTCGATATGAGATTGATACTCTCAACAGATTAAACATTTTAGGGTAATTTTACGCACAATCTTTGAGTGTATTTTCTTTTCTTTTCACTTTGGATTATGGATAAAACTCGAGAATTGTGATTGTATTTGTAAATTTATGGCAGGTCATTACATGGACGTTTTCGATTTCAAGCCTCCAAGTAGAGTTACGAGGCCATGGATAGAGCTTTAACATGGAGATGGAGTCTCTAAGTTAGGGCTCGTTTTAAAGTATTTTTAAACAATTGAAAACGTTTTCAGAGAAAAAAATTTGTTATGTGCTTCTTATAGGAATTACTTCAAATGCTTTTCTACGATTCACTTGCATTTTTATTAAAAATTGGTTACAAAATTATTTTCCCCAATAGTGCTTTCGACTATGTTAAAAACACTTTTAAACGAGCTCAGCTCTTATTATATCAATAATAAAAAAGCTAGGCATGTAAACAGAAATGAGCAGCATTGGCCATGCACTTTAGGTACAAATTGGTATGTTGCTATGCTTTTGCTGGTGTATTTGCAGACTTCCATGACCAGCTATTCAAACCGTCACTATATCTTTCCCCTGCCGCACCGTTGACGGGTATCGCATCAGAAACCTCCTTCACATCTTCTTCAGTGAGTTTCACTCTCAACGATCCGATATTATCATCGAGATTTTTTATCTTTGTCGTTCCTAAAAGAATACAATGATATGTAAGTATGCTTCGTTTTCAAGTTTATTAAAAATGGTATGCCTAGTTAGTAAGTTAATACGAACATACCAGGGATTGGTACCACGTCATCACCTTGGCTAAGAATCCAAGCTAGGGCAACTTGTGCAGGGGTGCATCCGTGCTTCTCGGACAACTTTCGTACGTTGCCAAAGATGACCTTGTTGTTCTCCAAGTTGTCCCCTGTAAATCGAGGACAGAAACCTGATACCTGATAACAAAATGAATAGCCATCAAATAACCGTTCTTGTTCACATAATTAAGCATATCGCTAGCCGGGAACTCCCTTACCAGAAAATTATTTGTAGGTAGACTTTCGACAACTCCCTTGCCACCGAAAAATCCGCGACCAAGTGGGCTGTATGGCACTATTCCGATTCCAAGCTCCCTGTGGTTCCAACAAAAGCGACAATATTTTCTCACAATGATCAATTGACTATGATGCGGGAACAATCAACCAGCCACAAAGTACCTGCAAAGCGGGACAATTTCTTCCTCGATATCTCGAGTCCAAAGGGACCACTCCATTTGTATAGCAGTTATGGGATGAACTGCATGAGCCCTTCTTATTGTGTCCGGGCTAGCTTCCGATAATCCGACGTACTTAATTTTTCCCTCATTCACCAGCTTCTTTAGCTCATCCATCTGTCCTTACAAAAATAGTAACTGAGTAACAAAAAAAATTGAATAAGGCTTCACACTGCACTTCAAAAGTGGGGGAAAATATCTCACTTACAGTGTCCTCTATGGGGACTGTTGTATCGATCCGGTGCTGATAGTAAAGATCAATGTAGTCCACGCCAAGGCGCTTCAGGCTAGCCTCGCAGGAGGAGCGGACATATTCAGGACTGCCATTTACTAGCATCTGATGAGGATCAATTTCCACGATACCAAACTTCGTAGCCAACTGAACTTTGTCTCGTGGCAATTGCTTCAATGCCTGAAGTTAAACCGATCGAAGACAGCATAAATGACTAACATTAAATGTATACCAATTTCGAGTCAAGAGATACTAAACCCTTGCTTGCTGCACAAGGCAGATCAAAACTTTGAATTATAGAAAGACTAATTTCAGATCACATTACCTTTCCAACCAAAACTTCATTAATATGAGGTCCATAAACATCTGATGTATCAAAGAATGTAATTCCCTTATCGAATGCGTGCTTGATGATCGATATGCCAAGCTCTTCGGGGAGTGGATCGTTGTAGATTCCAGTGAGCCCCATACACCCAAATCCCAACTTGGAAACCTGCACAACAAATGAATTCACAATTTGCAAAACATCAATGTGAAATAATGCTAATTTTTATTTGGAGGGAAGCAAAAAACATAACCGAGTTGCAGAAATGATAAGCTAGAAGTAAAGAATCTGAAATGGTTTCACCTCAAATCCCTGAGTTCCGAGTTGCACTCTTGGAATTTGAACTTTCTGCTCCTCCGCCATTCTTCTTCTTCGATCTTCTTTGATCTTGGTGCACTCTTGTCACTCTTTTTGCCCCCTGTTCGGTGAAGTGAGAGCGAATTTATAGGCGTTTTACGCACTCAACTTCCTGTTGTCATCGACTAAACTTCATGTCGTCATTGATTACATCAGTATATCTTTTAGATCACCGCGTGTGTCACTACTCATTTAGGAGGAGCCGGCTTATCTGTCCTCCTACTTCCTATACACTCACATTCTTTCGTATTTTGTACGATCACAGTTAAATCACGTCAATATTATCTTATTATTTTTATAAAAAAATCAATATAAAATATTAACATCACTTAACCGTAATCACATAAATAAGAGAAGATGGAAGTATATAGGAAGTGGGAGGGCAAAGAAGCCAGGTCCCATTTAGAAACTAAATTTTATTTAGAAAAACTAATAAAAAAAACTTGAAAACTTTGAGTTTTAACAATAAGAATAAAATGAAGGATAAAGTAAATAGTATCAGGATTAATTTTTTTAGTATAAAAATATGATTTTTTTTGTTAAAATCAACAGTATCGTAACTTTTCATTAAAATTCCTATTTTATTTAGCATTTTATCCTTTCGCTACGTGTTGATCATCCTGTGTTGCCCTTTTGCTTCGGTCTTGCATGCCCTCCAGCTGGATCTTTGGAATTTTTCCTTGGTTTCGATCACCCATCCCCTCCATCTGACTCATCATTATCCCCCCAACTAATTCCTCTTCCCCTCACTCTCACGCCTAATTCACTCTCTCTCTACACCCCATTAAGACTCCCCCATCTCTCAACACTATCACTTTCTCTTATCCATTGAAGAAATTTTTCATTATAATCGAAATATGAGTGGTACTTATGTGTTTTTATATAAGGGGTATAAATTTTAATTTTTAAGTTGTTAACATTTTAACATATATATCATATATATTATATAATAACACGTGATATATCATCTCGTGTTTCGATCGCATTAAAACATCTCTCCATCCCTCGCCACTCTCTGCCTCTCGCATCTGTCCCCCCTCTGCAACTCTCCTTCTCCCTCTCGACAAAACCGAGAACCACCAAATTCCAGTTTTTTTAGTGATTTCCAAGAAACGCAGTCTGCGATGCCTGTTCCGTCCTGATTTGAAGAAGATTTCTCAAGCGACTGTAATTTCACGGTAAGTTGGCTTAAAGCAGTTCCAAAATTTGGGATTGTGTGGGATATTTTCAGGTTTTTCTGACTTCTGTGTTTTGGGATTGTCATCCTTTGTGTTTTGGAATGGCCATGAACATTCTCCGGGAAAAGTAATGCAATCAGCTATTCAAATTTACATTTTCTTTGCCCTCTCTAATGCAAATATATTTATGCTAATTCATTGGCTTTTTATTTTTTCAAATTTGCAGTATTATTTTGAGGACGGATATGATTTGGACAAGTTCATCGAGCTGGTGCAACAGGCAGGCCTATCTGTTTTTTGTTCTGTTTCTGAAACAGGGGATTCCCAGTTCGGCTGAAATATATCTCCGGAATCGCTTTTCGAAGGACAGTGAGCCTTTCAAGGTGGGATATTATAAATCTTCCGTTTACTCCAATTGCAATTTAATTTTTTTAATAAATAATTTTTAAGCTAAATTTAATTTCTAATTATCTGTTACGAAGGCGGCAATGCAAAAATTTACAGAGAAGATTATCAGCATGATAAGAATAACAACATTCTCACAGGTAATAATTTACAGATCCCCGAAAAAGACCCATTTCTTGACAATATGTGCTTATCAACAACTTTTAAACATTTTAAAAGAAATCATACAAAGCTAATTGTCAGATTGCAAGATATTTTGAAATACATTACTGCAGTACAACCTTTGAAAAAAAAAAAAAAAAACTTTAACGAAAAGCTTCCGGTAATGTTCTTTTTAACGAAAAATTATATTTTTACACTAAAAAATCATATTGATACTATTCACTTTACCCTTTATTTGTTCTTATCATTAAAACTCAAAATTTTCAGGCTTTTTTTTTGTTAATTTTCTTAAAAAAAAAAAATGGTTGCCAATGAAAGATTTGAGACCAAAAGTTAAATTTGTATTGCAAAATATGAGGTACAAAGTATAATACAGCATTTATAAAAGGATGATTACCCCTTCTTTTTTTTTACATTTTTAAAGTTAAATTTGTGTTAAATGTATTTGAAAACTGAATGAAAAAAGTACCCAATTTTTTAGCAATTAAAAAAAATACAGTTTTATTCCAATTTGTAAGCAAGGGAAAAAAAACTCTAAAGTTTCAATGAAGAGAGAGTCAGAAGTTCTGAGTATTTTATACCAAATATTATTTGGAAGTTTGTTAGAGTCCTAATTTATATTAAAACGGTGAAATTATCAAAAAGACGGGTCAAAGATCCACTTCCAACAACACATTGTTAATTACCATGTGCACAACCCATTAGGTTTAGGGTTTTATCACAAAAGGTATCCGTATTAGTTTAAAACTGATTAAGATATTTAAACTTTTCTTTTTTCATAAATACGATCGATGAAAGATATTTCAAGAAAAATCATATTCTAAGTGCCTGAAATGTTAAAATAATCTCTCTGTGCCTGCCCTGTATGAGTCCAGTATAATATAATAAGAAAACGGAAATTTTCGTAGCAGCAGTTTCCAGGATAAGTAGTCCCCGGATCTTTGTGTCTGTCCATGAGCGTTACAATTTCGAAATGGAAATTACGCCTAGGAATTATCTTATTATGATGTTGAAATATCCATAACTGCTTCCAAGACTTCGATTGCGTTGCAATTTTCTCACAGCAACTGTGCAGATTCGATTGTGTGTACAAACATTTAAGATGGTCTGTTGCATTCTTTTGCTGGTGTGTCTGCAAATTTCCCCATTGACTCAACGGGCTCGCCACAACTATCAAAGAAAAACTGCGGCTGGGACACGCTAATCACGTCATCTGCAACGCATTTCTGATATTATCTGTGTTGATTCTCTCAACTTCACGCAATTGTCCTAGTAGGGCAACTCTACCGACTCATCTTTCGTTACTGGTAAGTTACAGGTTTTAGTTTTATTTCGTTTTGCTTTTTTTTTGACATTTTTTTCTCTAGTTTTTCCCTTCTTGTTTATCTAGTTCATAAAAGATGTAGAAAATCATTTGATACGTGAAACACTAAATGTGATTAAAATGTGTACGAAATTAAGCTTAAATCAGCACACAATTAACTGAGAACAGTTTTTATTAGTACCAAAAAAAAAAAGAAGGCTTAAGCATCCAACAGAACTGGGCAGCATTCACCGAATGTTCTCAAACCGTGCAGCAATTGGAACCTTAGTTGCACTTTCTAACAACAATCAGAACCAAACAAACATAAACACCTTACAGCATTTCAATTTCTTACAGATATTAGCTGCATAGTAAAAATTCTTACACGAAATGTGCAGACCCGATCACATACACGAACATTTAAGATGGTCTTCCTCCATCTCTTTGCGGTGTATCTGCGAACTTCCAAGAGCAGGGGATGAAACTTTCAGGTACATTATTCCCCGCCGCCGCATCCACTGGTATCATATCTGAAATCTCTTTTACATCTTCTTTTGTGAGCCTCACTTTAAGGGATCCAATATTATCATCAAGATTTTTCACCTTAGTTGTCCCTACAAGAAAACACAAGGGAAAGTCAGCAACTGGAAAAAAAAAATCCAGCAATGTTTCTACTTCATTGCATTAGTAAAACTCATCAAATACCCTAAACACTAGAGGCTAGATCGGGAAGGTAAGGGGCACGCACCGGGGATAGGTACCACATCATCGCCTTGATGACGAATCCAGGCAAGTGAAAGTTGTGCAGTGCTGCATCTATGCTTTTCAGCCAACTTTTGTATTCTACCATATATAATCTTGTTCTTCACAAGGTTGTCTCCTTGGAAACGAGGATGCCCATACTGAGAGCAAGATTGATTCGTAAAATCATATAATAATTAGAACGAAAGAGCTTCATACATAAATTATGTGACATAGATTACCAGAAAACTACTTGCAGGTAGACTCTCCACAACTGCCTTGCCACCGAAGAATCCAGAACCGAGAGGGCTGTATGGCACTATCCCAATTCCTAGTTCCCTAATGTTCAACAAGGACAGCACAATTCTTGTCATACATACAAAGGGGGGAAGCGAATACATGTAGCGTGTGAAAAGATGGCAAAAATAGATGCTAACATCTTCGTTCTAGGGCAAGTTAATGCAGACAGAAAAAATGTAATGCACCAACAAGCTAATATGCTAGCCATTATGCACACATTGTATATATAACATCGAATTCAAACCACCCCAACACCCCCCCCCCCCCCCTCCTTTCTCTCTTCTTCTCTGTTTTGAGTGATAATTTGATCGTTTTAGTTTCATTAAACGCAACCAATGCTATATGCTATTGCTGTACTAGGGTTTCCGAAAACACCTATCAATGCATAATTATGATTTTTGCACAGGATTTTCAAATCGGATAGTAAGATGAGGAGGGTTACCTGCAAAGTGGGACAATTTCTTCCTCAATTCCACGAGTCCAAAGCGACCACTCCATTTGTATTGCAGCAATGGGGTGAACTGCATTTGCCCTCCTTATTGTGTCTGGACTAGCTTCAGACAATCCAATGTACTTTATTTTCCCCTCATCCACCAGCTTCTTCAGTTCCTCCATCTACCCTTATACCACAAGAGCAAGTACTAATAGTTATAAAATAAGAAATCTTCAACTTCAAATATATTTTGTTGAGTGAAAAAGGTTAACGCTTACAGTATCCTCAATGGGGATGGATGTATCCACGCGGTGCTGATAGTAAAGATCGATGTAGTCCACACCAAGGCGCTTCAGGCTAGCATCACAACACGAACGAACATACTCAGGAGTGCCATTTACTACAACGCCATTAGAATCGAATCCTGCAATACCAAACTTCGTAGCCAACTGAATCTGGTCTCGAGGCAATTCCTTCAATGCCTGAAAAACTTTAAATCGTAAATAGCATGCAAACTTGCAAGGAAAGTTAACAAAGACAGGAAAAATGAGCTAATAACGTTTTGAATGAGATTTCGTTGAAGAAACATCCTAAGAACTGATGATTTTTCACCTTATATTTTAGGATTTTGAAGTAGAAGACTTTACCTTTCCAATCAAAACCTCATTAGTATGGGATCCATAAATATCTGCTGTATCAAAGAATGTGATTCCCTTGTCGAATGCGTACTTGATGATTGATATGCCAACCTCTTCAGGTACTGGATCATTGTAGATTCCAGAAAGCCCCATGCACCCAAATCCCAACTGGGAAACCTGCACAACAACAAATGAAATGAAATACACAGAAACTACTATTGACAGCAATTCAAGTAATTTTTCAGTATGACCAGTCACCCTTGACGGCGTGACTGTCATGCAACCACGTTTATTACTAACCATCCTTGACACTTGACAGTGTGACCGCCACAAAACTAGACTTATTACCAATCCATCCTTGATGGCGTGACCGTCACACAATCGTGTATATTACTAGTCCACCTTTGACAATGTGATCGTAATACACCCAAAAAAAAAAAAAAAATCCCAATAATTAATCGTATGTTTACTTACTTAAAATGGAGGAAGCCGTGAATTCGTGAAGTGTAAGTATGAAATCATATTAACTAGGAGTCTAGCACCTTATCAATATAATTCTTGATTTTTCAAGCACGCATTACAAATCTTAATGTGATATTCACAATTTTTATGCCATACGTCTTAGTAAACACATGAAAGTTGGGGCTTGAAATAATTATAGTATCTTACTAAATAATTTCAACATCCAAGTAAATATGTCTTCCGAGTAGGACACGAGCCCAAGTTTGTTAAGAAAACTAAGACCAGGACCAAAAAATTAAAACAGTGCTGGACAGACACCTTCCTGTATTCCCGGCACACCAAAACATTAAAATAGTGCTAGACACACACTCAGTAGGGATTTTTCGGGACATTTCGCGATCCATCGTCGACAGAGGCCGATGGCGCCTCCACCGCAGATGATGAGAGGACCTCCGCCTCCCTGCCCGGGATTGCCTCCTCTGCAAGGTGGAGTTCCAATTTATGGTCCTCCCCATCCCGGCATGCCTCCTCTCCGCCCAATCCTCAGAACCACCAGCAGCAGTGATGATCGGTACTTTTTCCGAATGTCTAGTTTTGTGTTTTGAGTGAAAATTCTGATGGTTTGTTGCGGATGATGAGGTAGGTGACTTAGTTATGTGAAAGTCAATTTATTTTCTGGTATTATAACCATTAACTGTGAAAGAACAAGTTCTTCTTGCTGAAAATTGCTCTCTTTATACTCGATGATCGATCGTTTCGAACACGAAAGGGTTCATGAAAGTATCTCTATTTACTCGACAAGGTATAAAATTTCGGAGATGGCGCTTCCCTACAGTGGCAGAAAGCAATCATGTTTATGCGCGGGGATTGATCCACCGATTCTCATACTCTAACGACTAGCCATAAACCTATTAACGCTATCGATTTACTAAGAAAAAAGCTTAGAGAAACACAATCTAAGCAAGATTTCTTCATTTCGTCGTGTTGATTGAAAGTCAAAAGAATGGAAGTGATAGGGGTTTTACCTCAAATCCCTGAGTTCCTAGTTTCACCCTCGGAATTTGGACTTCCTCCTCAGCCATTCTGCTTCTGCTTTTTTCTCCAATTCTTTTTCCTTCCCTGTTTGCTTGCTTCCGATGCAGGAGGCGAGGACTTTTAAGAATTCCGAAGTCGGCCAGTAAGGACGACAGACACTATTAGTTGTTATATTCTGCGGAGGAAATTGTAGCAACCCTCCTTTGACTTTGATTTTAACTTTAACTCATTTCATTGGAGTAATACTACTTCAATAAAAAAATTCAAGGTCATTAATCTATTAGCTCATCAAAATATAAAATTATGATATTTTTTTACCAACTCAATAAAAACTTTTGTCAAAATGAGTCTCATGATATGCACGTGAAGCTGAATCAAAGGAAATATGAAAGATCAAATGAGAAAAATTGTAGCAGTTGTTCATCAACTTTAATCTCAATAGGAGAAAATGGTTCATCAACTTTAATCTACTTGTAGGCAATTGTCCTTCCAGCATGAATAATCTTCATTAAATTTAGACAGATTAGACGAAAATGATTATAACTACTTGTTTTGATGAGTTCAAAGATCAAATGATCATGATTTTTAATTGAGGACCATTGGAGAAACTATTTCTGCAATTTTTTCTAGTCTATATTTTGTGTCATCGTTGATTGCATTATTGTTGTTTCCTAATCCTTAATTGTCATTGTCATTGTCATTTATCATTAATCAATTGAATTATTGTTGTTTCCTAATCCTTAATTGTCATTGTCATTTATCATTAATCATTTACCTAGAAATGGTTAATCACTTACCTAGAAATGGCATTTCATGGTCAAACTCTTACCTAGAAATGGCCTCTCTTAATTTACTTGATTAAGACTACAGGCATGATAAAATTCTCTATAGTTTATTCGGGTCTAAAAGAGATTGATAATCCTGACTTGCTATTAGTTGTTCTCTTTTTTACAAGAAAAAAAAAAACAAATCTCGAAACTTAAACTCATCTAACGGTAATAAATATAGTAATGAGCATATATCTCACTAAATGGTGCTAAGCAAAAATACTCCCATTTCAAAACTCCAGATTGACCAGCCGTTGTTCTCCACAAATAAAAGATCAACACCTGTCCTATGTCTTTTTCAAATGATATCACGTGGTATTTTTCATTCAAGTTTTAGCCATGGTTAAGTCTAAATTAAATAAATGCTGAAATTTTTTATGTTTTTAAACTTGAACCGTAAGATTGATCCAACGGTTCCTATCTTTCTTACTGTTAGGTTGATCCAGCCGGCTCTTCCCCATCTTTTTCTTAGGCTGACATGGAGAACCTCAGTTTATTTGGAGAATGGGACGTCACCAAGCAGTATACGAGCTCACATAGTGTGCTACGCATGACTTACATGTTTTAAATGTAAGATAAAACTTATCACAAACCAATCAAAACAGCTGAATTCACATAATAAAATTGGTCTTTTAATTTTCATCTACATTATATTGAATTTACATTAAGAATAGAGAAAATAATATTTAATAAACAATTGATTGAATCACATTATTGTTAGCCTATTGTAAGGCTAAGTTCATTCCCTCCCTCCTAGTGTAGATAATATCATTTGTTAAAAACAAAATTGACAACTAATTTAATCACATTATTATGTGTGTATGAAAGATCTTTTTTATAACCGGCATTACACATCTCTTAAGATGTTTTGAAAGTGTTTAAAAATAGAAAAAAATAAAATTTAATGAATAACTGGTTGAATTACATTATTGCTAACCTATTGTAAGGTACTAATTAAAAAAAAATTGTACAAAAAGAATTAATTATTAAAAAAAATATTGTTAAAATGACGAAAAAACCCTTGTATTATTTTGGTTGCTTTTGAAATTTTTTGTTTTAAGGGTATTGTTGTCCAAAACTTTTTAATGAAGTTTGTGACCCCAAAAATTTTTTTTGGCTTTATATATAAAGATAACCAGATCTCTTCCCACAAAAAACAATCCTAAAGTTTGATCCTAATATACATATATATATATATATATATTTTTTTTTTTTATGAAAAACCTCGACAGTACGAGGGCATCTTATTGTGGCCCCAGATGGCGTCTTGTCTTCGTATTAAGCACGGTGGGCTGATTGGATCAAACGGCAGACAGTACGAGGGCATCTTGTTATGGCCCTAGATGGCGTCTTGTCTTCGTATTGAGCACGGTGGGCTGGTTGGACCAATCAAACGGCAGAATGTTAAAGATAAACCATATTTAACTTAAATAACACAGGTGATATTTTCTTCTTTTGAAAGAACAAGATTTATAGGTGTCAACTACGTATTAGTTGGGACCCCATGTTCAGCTGGGTAGGAGAGATCTTTCAGCGGTATACGGGATGGTATATCATGTCTCACTAAACAAATAGTGAGATATATGTGCTAAAAAGTTAATAACTTAAAAAAAAAAATTTCATCATTCTTATTAAAACATGTGGTGTACCACTTGTATTTCTGTCACAACTAAAAATGCAAAGGCATTTTCTTGAACGCCCCGTCCAAAAAACCGCCTAGGCTAATCTCAATAGATTTTTTAATCGTCCAATTTCCATATCTTAACAAAAGATTGCACGTTTGTTCAACCAAAAAAATAAAAAATAAAAAAGATTGCACGTTTGAATTTCTTTATTTACGATATCTCCGG